AACAAGAGAGGCAGTCCTGCAGAGTGCAGACCCAACATGAATGTTATAATTACTGCCATTTCCCTGGCGTTAATATGGTGCACCCACATAGGCATCTCCAAGCCAGTTGGCCCAACACCAGTTATTTCCTGAACAGGAAAAATAGATACTCCATTTTTCTTGGAAAGTCTGCTGGTGAGTAAAGCTGTAATTACGCCTAAATTTTGTAAACTAAATCATGTTTATACAATTTTTATTAAAAGATCTCCTGATTTTATGAATCTGCAGATGTGTCTACAGGTACATTATGAAGTGATTTAAAATTGTTTTGTCTGATGAATTTAGGTGCAATCTACACTCAAACTTTTATTCATTTTACATGGGCACGAGCTAATATTTTCAGCTCAATTGCCATGGCTACCAGTCACTCCTGACAGTGACAGCTTGGTCTAGACTTTTGGGAGGAACTATCTCTGAAAATAAGACACAAATAATCAACAGTTGATTAACTTCTTTAAAATTTGGGTCAGAAGAAAATTCAAACCTACCGCTAACAATTCTGGACCATATAAGACTTAGAGACCTACAGACTGCAGTACAGTGCAGTGCAGTAAATTTTCATTTTACTTTTTCCCCTTTCACGAAGCTCATTTTGGGAGATAACATAAACAAAGACAATCTTTGGTCTAATGTTAGATTGAACTAAAATGGAAAAGATGGGCTCTAACGATTAGGGCCTTGTAAAATCTCCATTCCAGGCTGCGTTTACATCTAGGTTAAGCCAACTGTCGGTTGGTTATCTAAGTAAGATGTAGACCTCTAGACTTGATTTTAGGAAAGGGACTAACTTAGCTATAGACTTTAACTACTTAGGGCTTTCTTAGGCCATGAAATGACAAGTACAACTTTGTGCAAGCACATTTATGAGATAGTACTGCAAGAATGTGTATGTTTGTTCTTGATTTTAAAAGAGATACCGGTAGTCATTCTGTAAATCAATGATTACTAGTAACTGAGTGGGGAGGGGTGCCTAGTCACTGCCTACATGAAAGGCGCCTTAAAAAAAAAAATTAAGTTAGAGTAGATTTTTGATATTTTAATGAGGTCTACCGTAAACCTTTTTATTTTTGTTTCAGGATGATGTTTTTCTTCAGTAAAATAAATGAAGGCAAATTCCCTGATAACTGAGACAAATTCAGAGAGAGGAAGGAGAACTACTGAGCTGCTGAATTTCTGACAGGTAGGCTGTACGAATAAGTTGTTGTTTGTATGCCCATGTACTTCAAGGATGGCATTTGTTCATTCACATTTTTCCATCAATACTTTCATGTAATTGATTATGCACTCCACTTTTACCACAATGTACATGGAAGACCTTTTTAATCTTTAACAGAAATAGGTTTCAATGTGCTTCCTTTCATTATTTTCTCTTTTCATTCAACAGACTTGCAAGGACTATGAAGTTCTACTTAGCCTCTTCAATGAACCAGACTCCATCTGCTGTAACTGTGACTGCGTGGGGATCAAAACCTTTGTATTATAATCCTCATAACATGAAGCTATGGTAACAAACAAGCAACCATTGATAAAAAGCCTGATATATCCTTGTTGTATGTGTGAACCACAAAGCAACCATCACTCATAAGGATGTTTTTATGTACATCAGATCTTCATTGTTTCACTGGAAAATTGTGATTTTGAATCATTTCAGAGATCATGTTTTGTAATGTGTTTTATAACATAGTGCAAGTCATGATATAACAGATTCCCTGCAAAAGAAACATGGCTCAAAAGTAGACTATGCTTTGTTTTAAAAAAATGGGAAAAAGTAATGTAACAAATGCATAACATTTAATTCTAATAGTTTCAAGTTGCAGATTATGTGGCTATTGCAGCTTAATATTTGACCTTCAATTTTATAATCGTATTCATCGTGAATTACAATCTTTTCTGTTTCAAGAAAAATAAATGAATTGAACATAATTGTTGATATGTTATATACAATATTCCTTTCATATCTTTTGATTTTAAGTGTGCATACTGTTGGGTTCATTGAATTATACATGAAAAAAGTCTTGTAATAGAACAGTGAGAGAACAGAGAGCGAGTGAGAGAGAGAGAGAGAGTAAAAGAGAAAGGGAACCAAATGAGAAAGAACAATTTAATGGTGAGAGAAATAAACAATGATGTGAGATAGTGTGTGTGTGTGAGAGAGAGAGAGAGAGAGATGGAGATAGGGAGAAAGAGTTGGGGGGGGGGGGGAGGGGGTACAGTGCCCCCTTTTTCAAATGCCCCTTTTTATATAGGAAAGTTCCCTTTTAACTTTGTAAGAAGTGCCCCTTTTTCCATAGGAAAAGTGCCCCTTCCCCTTTTCACCTCTGATAAGTGCCCCTTTAATTTTGACACGCGCCCCTTTTCCTTTGACAAGTTTTCATTTTTCTTTGCAATAAGTGCCCCTTTTCACTTTTGAGAAGTGCCCCTTCACCTCTGATAATTGCCCTATTTAAATTTGAGAGGTGCCCCTATTAACAAAATTATCGGTGTCCATTTTCTTTCAACAAATGCACATTTCCTTTATTATAAGTGCCTCTTTTTCATTCTCATAAGTGCCCTTTAAAAATATGTTAAATGCCCATTTTCAGGTGCGATATGTGATCCTTTTCACCTCTGATAATTTCCCTTTTAACAATGATACAATTCCAGCAAGTGCCCTTTTTGTTGGTGCTGCCCCCCGCTTTGGAAGTCGCTTCGCCGCCCCTGGACGTCATATTGCTCAAGTTGTCGTGGTGATGCATCCTCTCCACACTGCGCGCATCCATTGTCTTAGCCCATTGTTTTAGTGCATTGTGACGTCATATTGCTCAAGTTGTCGAGGTGATGCATCCTCTCCACACTGCGCGCATCCATTGTCTTAGTGCATTGTGACGTCGCAGCTTCGGTACTGAGCATGTGCAGAAACCGTAACCATGGTGAATAATCCATGGACTAAGTTAGGCCAGGTTTAAACCATGGATCAGTTAGGCCACCTTTCGAGAAATGAAAATGACTTAGGTCAGCGGCCTAAGTTAAGCCTGGCCTAACTAAACCACGGTTTAACTTAGGCCAGGTTTAACTTAGGCCGCTTTCGAGAATACCACCCATAGCTTTTACGAAAACCATTTACTTGCTACAACATGTACATGTAAGTGCTTCTCTGAGACAGATAAGTTGAGCATCATGAAACCATGTGATGGTGCTGGTTGCCATGGTAGCAGTTAGTAGGAAATGAAAGTTGTTTTGGGTCAAGTAGAATGATGGACTGTCTGCCGATTCAAGATCAAATTCTTATATCCTCTGGGGCTTCCGTTTCTGTCACGAAACATGCAGAGGAATATGAATTATGAGTATGGAGTATGGCTGACAAAATATGTTGAAGACACTCCTTGTAAGCCTGGTTGAATTACAATGGAATGTAATGTACTTTCCTTGCCAAGCAGAATAATTTCTAATCGGGTAGTACGTGAATAATAAGCTAATAAGCACTGAGCGGCTGACCTACAGTTAATGGTAAATGAAGCTATGGGCCTAGCGTTTAATAGAGACTTTGTAGTAAAGCGCTTTTTAAGCACCACTTTTTTTTTTTTTTAAATTTTTTTAAATCTACCGGTAGGCGAAATTGTCTAGACCTGGATAAACATATACTGTACATGTACATGTACATGTATATATCTATGTGTAGATATGGCTAACTGGCTATGCCCATGTAATAAAGTTTTTTTTGGGGGGGGGGAGGGGAGGGGGGAGGAAAAAAGAAAAATATCTATTAATTTGATGATCACATTGAGGGTATGAAAAGAAATGTTAACTTTCTGTTCTGCTAGGAGGAAGCAGGATGAGGATAAATGCAGGAGCATAATTCACAAGGACATGCCATACATAAACATTTACGTTGTATGTGAAAACATTTTGTATGGGGGATGTATCAAGTGAGACATTGTCATCTTTGTTTCCTAGTGATGTGCTCATAAAGGATACATGTAATTAAGTCATGTTGTAAACATGTTTTCCAAAAGGTGAAATTTAAGGAGAGTATGAATGAGAAAATAATTGCTTCTGCCTCTTCATGTTCTTTCACACTCACTGTACTACAATGTACATGAACATATTTCTGTATGCTCATTGTGATTAGCTACTTGTTGTGTTTCATGAATTTTAATGTCATTTTTCCATAGGGCCTAGAATAAAAACTAGTTGTATTGCCCTTTGCGACCGACCCAAAAATCTGAAAATCTACGGTCGGCAGTTAATTTTTATTTTTTTTTAAAACCTTTTTTTAATTTTGTTTATTATTAATGAATAAAAAAATATGTACTTTGTTTGTTTAAATGGGATTTAAATGCATAAAATCAAATTATTCCCAAATTCTCACTCGTCTTCTGCCCTAGTTTTAAAATCCTACTAGTGTAAACATGAACGTAGACCCAGGCCTCGTGTACATGTTTATACCATGCACTACACCAGCTAGAAACCAGGGAGACACATTTATAAAATTATACATATCAGCCAAAAGAGGGCTGGAAAAAAAAACATTCAAAACTGAAAAATATAGGCCTATAGAGGGCGAGAAAAAAAAGTTTAAAAAAAAAGTTTAAAAAAAAACTTTCTGACTGACCGACCCATGTTTTGGCACCTACATGTAAAGGGCAATACAACAAGTTTTTATTTTAGACCTAGTAAGAAGAATCATACCAATCGCCTCCCAAGATAACACAAACAAACATCAAATACTCTGCAACCTGTTAATTAGATATGCTTGAATTTATAGCTACAAGTAAACGTTGTATGTTTCTTTTTGCCTTTCTTACTCGTTTGTTTTCTCCACAAAATCAGGTGATACACCAAGTATATTTTGTTTTACCATTTGAATTTCAAGATAACCTAACATCAAATACATTGCAACCTTTACATTATACATGCTTGGATTCAAAGCTATAAATAACTAAGTTGTATGTTTCTTTCTCCTTCTGCTATGTTTTCCACAGGATATGACATGTCAACATACATCAGGCGGTACGCCAAGTACCTCAACTGCAAGGCTCTAGCATTCAGACAAATGGCATTTGATTTCTGTCGGGCTAAAAGAGGGTAAGAACTTTGTACTTGTATATCCAGGAGTAATCATTAGCCTCAGGGAAAAAAATACAAATTTTGGGGAGCTACTTTTCAAGCTTGCTTGCATGAAAATAACACCCTTTATTTTGTTTTGCCTTGAACTCTATGCAATTTTTTGGGGGCTCTTTTATGACTTTCGGGGGCTAATTCGCCCTGAGCCCCCGTATATTTTTTTCCATGATTAGCCTGTGATAAAATATGAAGTTCTCTTGTAGAAAGAAGCATCATGTCATATGTTGAAATTTGATTTAATTTTCATTTTGTAACTTCCATGTATACTGTACATTAATTATGCATTCAACATATAACTTCAGTTCTTACACTTCCTATGATATAGGAACTACAGTGTACCTATAATAATCAAATCAAATCAAAGACTAAGGTTTCATATGCCCAATTCAAGATACATGTACATACATGTATGAGATATTAATACATTATATTGCTCAATTTTGATTGAAATGTTTTTCTTTGTATTTATTTCATGCCAATAGGAAGGAAGAAGGAGTACTAAGAACAATGTGTGCAGAAAAAGTAAGTTTCATCTCCTTTGCTCATACAATTACCAGGTCTCGACACTAGCAGGTGCCCGTGACAAATGCCCACCTAAATTTAAGTCCGGAGCCCCCACTGTTAACATTTTGAAGATTTTACACAAGCTCATACGGGCCTAAAAAAAGAAGATGTTGTATTGCCCTTAAACACTGTAGCTGCCAAAACATGGGTCGGTCGGTCAGAAATCTTTAAAAAAATAAAAAATAATCCCTCTTTTGGCTGATATTTCTTAGTTTTGAAAGCTTTAATACCTTTTTCTAAAAATTAAACGGTCGCAAAGGGCAATACAACATCTTTTTTTTAGGCCTAATGTATACCAACTGTAAAAGTTCAATACGGACTCTCTTCTGAGAAAGATTGTTTGGAGTCTCACATTTACGATCCACTTAAGGGTCAACAGTTGATGTCATACTAATAAATTGGTGTTTCAGATCGAGCAAAACATTGGTATTGCAAATTAATCTTGTCAAGTTTCTAGTCAAATGAATCAAAACAAGAATAAAACGGTATCAACAAGTGGTTTCATCTCAACAACCTGTACTGTAGATTGGCTGCTCTTGCATTGAAGTGTGTGCAAGCATGAAGATGTTGTTTAAACATGTTTAAAGGGATTGGTTAATATTGTTGAATATCTTCACCTGTATTCTCATAGTTTTCTTATATAATGAATAATAATAATCATACCATCATCTATAATACGCTTACCCCTATATATCCACCCCAAACAATGTGATGCTGAACAACGAAAATAACGTCTGGCATTTTTCAAATGTTTGTGCCTTTGTTCGATTGACTACACATGTTTTACAATATCCTGAAAGTTTTATACATAGACATGTACATTTAAATGTAGATTGAGAATCAGATTATTCTATTAAATTTAACTAAAACTTTAAAAGTTTATGAGCTGGTCACCACAGAACAGACAGCATCCTAATGAAAATAGGCCTACATGCATTATATAGCTGTGCCAACACTTCCCGTAATGTTCTAAAAAGTAGATATTTCTAATGCTTGCCATTGTTTTTTTCTTTTCTTCACAGCTCCTGAAAACCCTTCCCCCTTTGCAAGACCTAATGGATGCCCTACTAGACTTTGAGGTAAGAGAGTGAAAAGATACGAAGTTATAATTCCCCTTTTTAATGTCCAGACATTGACTATAAGAGTACAATTGTCAGTAGATCATATTTCCTTTTGAATCTTAAATATGTGTATTTTTTTTTAATGTAATATTTCTAGAATTTTTTCCCATATCCATGAATCTATAGCGACCACCCAAGGGAAACACAAAAAGTGGCCTTTGTAGACAGGTGGTCTTTGTAGACAGGTTCCTTTAGCACATGATTCAATGTGAAACCATTTTCAAGGGAAACAACAAATGTGGCCTTTGTAGACAGGTGGTCTTTGTAGACAGGTGGTCACTAAAGCAGGTTTGACTGTACATAGAGTTACATAAAGCTTAAAGTGTTTCTCTGAGATACCCACGAGGCCGGGATGTGGGGTTTGAGATTGAATGTGATCCTTGGCATCCATGCAAATTATTATGCGAGTGTCTTGTTACAGCATGCCCTCACATCTTTGATATTCCCTTGATTAAATCATGGATAGGGTCCATGATTAGATAGAGGGATAGTAATGGGATTATGGGAAGGGTGAGTTCTGATTAAAGATAACAAATTATTTGAGACCTTTTTCATTTTTTGTAAATGAATTGGAAGAATATCATGAAATAAAGGAGGCGCGATAGCTCAGTCGGTAGAGCAGTGGTCTCGTAATCCGGTCACCCGAGTTCGAAACCAAGGAGATGCGCTAGTGTCCTTTGGTAAGGCATTAATCTTCATTACCAGCCGCCGGCTGTCTGGTTGCTTACAAGCATTTATGCTTTTTTAGCAGTCAGGTAAAATAACCACCACCATAAAATTATCTCCTGAATAGGCTTGCTCTTCAAAATTTTGAACTAAACTTTTATGCCACCTGTGTGTGTGTGTAGTCCCACTCACCCACTTTGTGTGCAGTGCATGTGATTTTCAGTAAGATAGCAAGAGTGTCGTTTATTTTGATTAGTCCCAAGCCTTACAGCATGCACATTAATTTCTAATGACTCCGTAATCAGACCTTTCCCAATGGCTTTGAGACAGTTTCTTGCACAATTTTTATCGTATTACCAGAAGTCAATTTCATCTTTCAAGGTTGGAAAACAAAATGAGATATTTTCCTTACGCATATTACCTTCAAGTTAATTTTGAGTTCTGGTTATGGAAATTCATTTCAAGAGAAAGAACCTCAAAGTAATCCTGAATTCTATATCATGCAGTTGATTGGTTGTTTTATTAAAACCAAAAGAACTGCAGAAACACGGGTTGTTTATTTACTCCGGCTTACTGACTCCGGCCCAGATTTTTTGGGACCCCGTTCATATTAAAACCAACATCGTTGCAGCACCAGTGTGTCTCTACAGCTGCAATGCTGGTGGTTTTAATATGAACAACTCATCAGAACAGAGTTGACTCTAATTCTTAAAGTATATTAATAGCTATTTTGACAGTACCATTGACAGTAAATCTCTTGATGTTTTACATGATAACTTTAAAAAAAATATGATGCCCTTAAAAATATGTGAAGGGTATGTGATATCAATATTAATACTTAACTGTAATCATATTTATTAACGTGGGGTGTAGATGTCAGGTATCTATGAGCTAAAGCATCTTTAGCCCAAGGCAACTCTCCCTCCTGATCAAATCCAGAATTCATTAAGTTGAAGAACCTGTAGCAAATCCAAATCAATTTCCAGAACAGAGCGTGCTGTGCTGAAACTAATGAAGTCACTTCATTGATAATGGATTCTTGTGACTGAGATGTAATCTGTATTAAGTAGAGGAAGGGAACTACAGATGAACTGTGTGTGATTATTTAGTCTTTGATGATTCCAGTATGCAATAAGTCGCTATGAAACCTAGACATAGCCACAGTTTGCAGTGTCAGTAATACAATTGTGTTTGTATGAATAATGAAATTTGTTGAATTGGCATCTATTCAGAATTTATCATTGTGTCCTCCAAATGATTCTATAGAAGAAGCACCTTTAAAGGTAATACAAAGTTTTGGGAAATTTTGAAAATTGGGTAGATAGTGAATCTTTACAATTTTGATATATTTGGATGCCCCTGTGGATGTATTATAAGTACTAAAAAAATTAACACCTAAAACACTTCTGTTTTCGAGAAATAGCGCCTACGGCCATACAATGGTAGCTGCGACCATGAAAATCTCAGAATATGTAGTTGTGATATATAATTTCCAAACAGGAGTAGCTAATCAGTTGATTTTAGTCAAGAAACATTGTTTCATAGCTAAATTGATATCTTGACCTTGAGAGGGAGCTATACAGCATAAAGAGTTTATCATTTGTAATTTCATAACTTTAGACTCGATTTCAACTGGGACAACGATCACTGAATATTGTAGGATTGCATATGCTTCCAATATGTTAATTTGAACCAAATTCATGACCCCATACCAAAACTTTGAGTTTTTAGAACCTTTTTTTCTGGTACTCTTTTGTCTGTGGTTTTATTATACTCTTTTAATCCAGGTATTAAAACTTAATTATATGATAAATACTGGAGGTAAAAGAAATCCTGAATAAGAAAACGATGTTGGTTAGGATATACATTTCATATGCGGACAGTTTACTTTAACATACTGCTCTGATGGTATTTTGTGCATGTGCAAAGACATCAGTATTTTCCCCCTTTTTTTTGCTTTGGGGAGAAAGAAAATTCATTATGTTTCCCCTCGTAGAATCTCGTCGGACGTAAATAGAGCATAGCGATTGGAAAGGGCACTCCTGCTTTATGAGGTGGAAAGCCTTACGTCTATATTAAACAACTATGGTTGACTGCATGCTTTGAAGTATGTTTTCGGATAACTTATGAGACAATGCAGCTCTTCTGTCTTTATATAAATGTGTATACTGCTTCTTGTCTTTCAAAATTTCTTCTGATAAGATTTCTTTTAAAAAATTCTTCTTACAAAGATAATTTTGTATTTTTTATTTAAATTGGTTCCCAATTTTTGTCTGATTTTTTCTTCTTCTTGATTTTCCCCCTTTTCCCCTGATTTTCCCTGATTTTTTCCCCTGAATCCTTTTTTTTAATCAGGGGACCGGGGGGGGGGGGGGGGGGGGCTCTCACTATTACCCCTGATTTATGAAATAGACTCTTGAAAGATGCTTCTCATGAAAACTTATGTAATGGACTCTAGTCCAAGAATTCAACATTTTATTAATCATTTTCTCTTTTTTCTCTTTTCTCTTCTTTCTGTACAGGTCACGTCCAATAATCTGTCCAATGGTGTAATAAATAGTGCATTCATGCTCCTGTTCAAAGACAGCATACGGCTGTTTGCATGCTACAACGATGGAATCATCAATCTCTTAGGTTAGTAGTCAAGGATAGTAAGATCTACCGTTTTTGACAATCCACCAATAGTGTCAAATTGTGCAACATTAAAACAAACAAAATATAAATTTATTAAACAAGTATAAGCATTGAGTTATATAACTTTTGAAAGCTCCACCAAAGTTTTTTAAAGCTAAATAAATGAGCTCTGTTAAAAGATTATAAACCAACAAAAAAGAAAATCGCAATAAAGTTGATTAAATTTCCTTTTTTTTGTTTTTTTTTTTTTTTGAACAATAGCCATCCTAATAGAGCATAAGTCAACAACACAATCAAAAGGGTTATTTTTTAAGCTGTTTAGAAACAGTGGTTGTCTAAAGATCTAAGAATATGAAAAAGAGCTTTTTATCCAAGTGTTCATACTTTCAGTCCATAGTAGTGAATTAGGTTGTATAGAAACTAGAGATAATACTTGATGTGCTGAAACTTAATCATGCCATTATAGTGTTACGAAAATACATTGTTTATGCTTCTGTATAGTTTCATCATGTTTCTAGAATGGTTACCAGAAGAGCCCTGCATCACATTATTACTAATCGCTATACCACATGTTTTAAGAATCAAAATTAATTAATTTGTGGTTTTCCTTCCATCAAACGATGTGGGTGTAGGGTGAGTCATTAATTATTTACAAGCTTTTACACATGTACAACTGTACCTGTACAGGGTAGATTGTGCCCTGCCAAATACTCCATCATGCGTAGCTGCGCCTTCTGAGTAATCCATCAATGGAATTCCAATTTGAAATTCCAATGAGAGATGAAGATTATTGGATATATGTCTGGGACTAATTATGAATTATTTATTCATTTCTAGTTACAGACTATAAAATGAGGCGTTTACGAGTGATAAGATGGATTTAAAGCCTAGAAATGCTCCCAAAATGAGTACAAAAATTGATTGTGTACAGTGTATTTGGATTTTTTGTGATAAGTCCAGAATTTTGAAACAATTATGTACCGAAAAATTGTTACGATTTAATAGACGGTATTGAAGCATTTTCTTTATAGATCTATAATTTAATGCAGTTAATGACTTGACAGGTTGATTCTTTTGTATTTATGTACATTTGTGTCTATAGTGTAGAAGATAATTGCAATGTGTCTTTATCATGGCATGATCTTTAAGGTTAGCACTGAAGAGTTGATTATGCTACTGAATCTAATCAACACCAAATCTAATGAAAATAACCTTCCTGTATGAGAGTTATAGCCTTGTAGCTGTTGCCAAACATCCATGTACAGTATATATATCTGTTGACATTTAATACCCTGGTAGTATGATATATATCTTCCCTGAGAATACAAAGCATGTGACATATCTTGTACATTGTACCTTGCTGTGTCACTACAGAGTACTGAGATCCTTATCATGTGTGTTTTGAGAATACATAGTACATTTTTCAGATGGTATACTGTAGATGGATAGATTTGGGTACTAAGGATGACTGGTAAAGAGAATTAATGAATTCAGTTTCTGTTATCATGTAGATCTAATTACCCTTGGTATTACTATAGCAAATTTTGACAGCCCTATTAAATTATAGAAAAACAACCACTGAATATCTTTTGCTATAAAGTATGTAAGGCCTACATTGCTGGCATCCTTTTCTGGCATCCTTTTCTTCAAAATATCAACTTCAGATATTACAATACCTCTTTGGAAGATACTATAAGTTTAGATACCAATATTCATAATGCCTATGAAATACATCAACAATTGTTTAAATTGTAAGCTCTGTCTGTTTGTGTTGAGCAGAGAAGTACTTTGACATGGGCAAGAAAGACTGCCGTACGGCACTGGACATCTACAAGAAATTCCTGATTCGCATGGAGAGGATAGGAGAGTTCCTCAAAGTAGCCGAGGTAAGTGCATGAATTTACTGTATTGTATTTTTAAGATTGTTTTTGGTTATGCCAAATCTGACACTGGATCAATGAATTAAACATTTAGTAACTCATCCTTTGCAGAAAATGTTCATAAAGTGCTTTTCATCTCAAAACTGAAAAAGCTGAATTTTATTTCCTAAAATTAAAATAAGTACATTTATTGCATAGATTATTCCAAAAGATGTGTTAGGCTTAATTTGACTATCAAATACAATAGTAAACCCTACATTCAACTCATGAAAGTTTATTTACAGGAAATACTTTGAAGTTAGTGGCACCGTAGGAGTTGAAGCCGAAATGTATTCAAACTGTTGAAATGTTTTATTCAGACGGCATACTCTGAGATTTTTACTCTAGAGAGCTCTTTAACTTTGACAAAAACAACATTCAGCATGCCATCAACCTCATTCTGACTTTGCGCTCAGTCTCAGTTGAACCATCTTTCAATAGCCTCAGTTATACCACAGTCACCACAAAACGTTAATATATCAATGTATACATATTATGTTGGATGGCTTTTAATAAGCTATCAAAATGTGATACCTGGGCCCCGTCTTACAAAGAGTTGATATTAATTAATCGCAACTTATTCACGATTGATATCAATCGCAAATATGTACAAATGGATAGGGGACTGCAAACTTGTGATTGATTAGAGGACTTACGATCGATTTGGATCAATCGCAACTCTTTATAAGACGGGCCCAGAGCTAGAATATAGGCAAAAGGATAGGTATTCCCCACAACTAGAAGCCAGCTAATACTATTATTTTCTTGATATTTATCATAGGAAAACTTTATCAGTAATACTACTATTCATAGTTTCTAGTTTTTACTCCTGTACATTATTGTTGTATCAGGCCCAATTCTATAAAACACAGATGAGTTGAATTTCTAGACTTTAAATCAAACATTTTGGTAGCTCATACATGCAGTGCATTAGCTTTTACGCATGATGAATAACAATCGTCAATATCCTGTGCGGCCATTTTGGCTAGGCTGTCAAATTTTCATGCATAAAGTTGGTATGAATTTCTGCCTCTTTGTTGTTCATTTGCCTGCAAATTGAAAGAGAAGAGCATTATCCATACTCTGTGGTCTTCTGGATCTAATACCCTTATGTTTTATTCAAAGTATGACGATATGAATACTGGCTTGAGGGATTTTCAATTCAAGGGTTAAGTGTAAATACATAGCCACCTTTATCTCCCCTGTCTGCAACGCAATATTGAAACAGCGTATCAAATTGAAAATGCATACTGGTATTCTTAATGCATCGAGAGTCCAACATTTCAAGTATTAGGCATTACCCTAGGCACAGGTATTTTTAATTAGAAAAGGTGTTTACCGGTAATGAAAATTCAGATGTACATGTACATTTTCAAAAACTGAATAATGGTTTCTTGATAGGGTAGTCCTAGATATAAATGAACCATGTGCCTATTGTTTGTTTATTTAAGGTATTTACAATATTCTAATAGTTCTTTTTTTTAAATGGTTGTTAATGTACGCCTGTACTTATATTTATTGATGTTGAACATAAATATACCTGACTTTCAGTTAAAACTCAGCTTTTTATATATAACAAATATTAATAAAGCCAAACATCTTTGTACATTGAAAAAATGGGGTACCGGTACATGTTGCAAATGCAAATGCAAATGCATACCATTTTTAGGTAATTCAAATTTTTTGCTGCAAAGCGATTTTTTTTGGGGGGAGGGGGGGGGGAGGTGGGGAGGGGGGTTATAACATATAAAGAGTAGACATGTTCCCTGTATAGATTAATTTCAGACAAAGTGGAAGAAATTATACAATGCTTTGAATGTGCTGATATAGGAGTAATATGATGACATCAAAGAAAAGCTGAGCAAGTAATAAATTTGATTCATCCTCTTCTCCCGGTCTTGCGACTGATCATTCAGCAACGTTTGTTTATACAGATGCAGCGAGGGTTTCAATTAAATGTGATTTATATGAGGGACTTGTCATCCTCTCCTGCCCCGCTCGTCCTGTTTTTAAAAGGATATCCCTTCAGGTGTTTACGCCTCATGCAAGGAACATTAATAATGTGCAAAGCTGCAAAAAAAAATTCATTTGCGTACCTGGGTTTCACTTTGTTGTGTAATGCCCTGAGAAATAATTACGGTCATGTGTGGTCCTACATGTAATATCAGTCATAACTTTGACATTTTTTTGTGTGGAGAATACATTGATTTAAATATATTGTCTGTTAGAAGGATGTTAACAGTGTAAATTGCTATCAATATATGCCTTTTTGGCTCTAAACAAACATTAAAATGGGAATAATGGGAAAATGTGTTTGGTTTTGGAATGATATATTTGTAACATAATAATAATAATAGTGTATACATCTAACGGGAGAGTATCAACTCTGTGTAAAATGATGTAAATTTTTGTCTGATCAGATATATTAACGTAGTCGGCAATAACATTTTGAGCTAGATATTTTATTTTATGTTCTGAATTCTGAATATATCGCGCAGATGATGCTATAATCCTGTACAAATTGGAAAAGATTTCATCACTCATGTTCATGAATAATTTATAACTATTTTCTCAACCATTTTTTTTTCTTTCATTATTACAGCAAGTGGGGATCGACAAGGGAGAAATTCCAGATTTAGCGAAGGTAAGTAGGCCAAACTTCTAGCTCACTAAATGTGTTATCTGTATCTGTCCTGTTTGGCATCATTTGTTCTATGGTCCTATGTTGTCTTGTGGCATGTATAGTTGAGGATCTTGGTAAATTTTTCACCAAACTTTTCCCCCCAAAAATATGTCAATCGTAGATGTGCAAAAGCATTGTTTCAGTTCAAAAGTCTGCCATGCAGTGTCGTTTGTTTAGTGTAAAATGTATACGATTGTGTTTATTTAGCAAGGTACAATATACATGTAACTCTGTATGACTTCAATGTATTTTTTACTTGTTTCTTGTGTTTACCTTTTGTTGAATCATTAATACTTTAGTAGGGATCATTTGATATTATTATTATTATTATTTTTTTTTTTTTTTTTTTTTTTTTTTTTTATTTATTTATTTATTTATTTATTTTTATTTATTTATTTATTTATTTATTTATTTATTTATTTATTTTTTATTGGGGGGGGGGGGATGGATTGGATTCAAAATAATTAAAACAAGTTTAATACTCTGTACATGTTTGTGTTCCTGTATATCAGCAAAGCCTTGTACTTTAAAGAATTTAAGAGCATGGAAGTTGTATGTGTCATATTTTACAAGAAATATATTGATAATATTGATATTGCAGATGATTTAAAAAGAGGAATGTGTAATAAGAAGAGATAACAACAACAAAAAGCTATATTTGAGAGATAGAGAGAGGGGGATAGAGAGATGGAATAAAAATAGAAATCATTTTTAATGTTGGCTGAAAGTAATACCAAAGATGCTCTAGAAGAGGGGGGGGGGAGTTAGAAATGCACAATTTGTTCAGCATGTTGGAATGGTATTGATTGACTGTGTAATTGTATATCTTTCTGAATGTTATCTTGCATGTAATTTACCTGCAGTTTGGTGATGTGCCACCTGAATATAAAACAGTGAGTTTCCTGAATGACCCCTTTTTTATTATTCCAGAAAATACCTATACAAGCATTCCAAAAGTTAAGTTTATACTATGCATTTAGCTCAGCCTATAATATAATAACAATTGTTGAATAGCAAAAATGGATGGTACAGTTGATGTGTTGACACAGATGAGTATACTGTCTTTCTGTCCTTATATAGAATGAAGAAAGGATGATAGTTGTGTATTACACATGCTTGCTTCAAAAAGAAAATTTTCAGTTCTGAACATTTAAGTCAGGTGTACCTGTGTACCTGCAAATATGGTTCGCTAAGAAATTATGAACAAATTCTACTTTGACATACATGTACATGTAGTTCCCCCTCCCCCAATGTTATGTAATGATCAGGACCAAAAAAAAATCATGTTTTTTTTCCAAAAGAGCAATGCTCTGGTCAAGATTTGATTGATTTCAGGTTTTAGGACAAACTATTTGCACAGTATAAACTATAAACTTTGCTTATTACATATTGTTTTTAATAAGAAGATCATGGATTGCAATAGGCCTGTTTTCATCAGCACGAATTTGCCAAATAACCAGCTATTTTAACTATCCCGATTGCAAATTATCCAGCTATCTAGCGGGATATTTGGTAGAGAAAATATCTGGAGAAATCTTGGTCTTGTTTCCAAAATATCCTGCTATTTGGGAAAATAGCGGGTTATTTGGCAAACTCAAGCTGATGAGGACAGGCCTAATGCCACTAACCCAACTATAATCTGGTATTCATAGTACAGCATAAGATGCACATTTACATCTTGTTGTTTGAGTTGCAGTGTCCTAATATGTTGTTTCCATGGAAACCACTGGATACGGGTAAGGTGAGGCAGTGTTTGGTTTTTAGCGCTGGCTGACTTTTGAACAGAAGCAATGCATGATACTGTTTTCATTTTGTTTTGATACAAGTACACATGTACATTACATTATAGTATTGTTTTGGCATGATCGACCAAGTATAATTTGAAATGAGAAGAGTTTATGAGTAGTGAAGTTTTCTTTCTTCTATTACATGAATTATTAACCCATACATGTACCTATGTTATCATTCACCATTTCATCATTTATTGTGATAACTATATGTATAACTCCTTCATTTAAGAACTCATTTGCTTTACACCACTTCACCACTTCATCCTGTGACAACCAGGGACCTGTTTCACAAAGCCTTCTTTCGATGACAAATGACAAAAATCAGAAACAAATCTGCTGATAACCAATCAGAAGCAAGGATATCAGTAGCTTATAACAAAAACTGTCATTTGCCACTGATGACAAGTTTTGTGAAATGGGGCCCAGGTCAGGAGATCGCACAATAACTTGAATTAGTTTAAACAAAGATTCATTCAAATATTCATTTTTTCCAAAAACACTTCCAAACTGGAACTCTTTACCACCATCCATAGTTAACATTCAAGATCCTTACGTATTCAAGGCTAACGTGCAGCAACATTTTCAAGTGGAGTGTGGCCTAAAAAACGATTAGACAGTGACAGAGTGTTTTGTTTGTTCCGGGAGAAGAATCTGCCATGAAGAAAAAAATGTCGCCTAGGGGGAAATCTTTTAAAGTTGCTGAAAAGGATACACAAGGCCTGTTAGTTTTTAATTCAGCTCTGTAATGTTTATAAAAGCTCATGGTTGTACACATAAATGTTTTGACCAGGCCCCCCCCCCCTCACTCAAGGCCATATTTTTGATTCAACTCAACTCCTAATTCATGTACTCTATATACTTCTTGCAAAGATTTGCTACCAAACATTTAACAGAAAGTACATGCGTTATGAATTTAAAAATAAATTTCACTGAAATAGCCAGTTATACATTTCTGTACTTGAATACATTTCAATCTTTACACCTGAAATTTACATCACATCACTGAAATATACCAATTTTTATCTTTTTGCATTTCGTGCTTCTCAATATCCATTTCTCAACTTGCTTATATGAGAGATGTAAGTCATGTATATATACATACATAGTCAATCAAACCGATTTAAATCTCTTTACGGTACCTCACCCTTTTATACAGCCCTTCTCACTTATGTAAATTAACATATGTATTTGCTTTGGAGCCATTCACATTTTTTTTTTTGCAGTTTGTTTTACAACAATTTTGCTGTTAATGACGCATTATTCCTAGCGATCACATTGTAATGTCAAAATGGAGTATAAAGTGGTACAACAACAAACAAAACAGTAACTGTTGTAGTTATAAAATGAATACCAATTACTTTTTAATAAACAATTTACCAGTTAATTGACCAAAGTGCTAACAGTATTAGTAGTACATGTACATCAATAGTTCAATACAGTTGTACTCATTTGAAAATGTTGCTATTGCTATGTGCTTTATTGAGCCAGAGAAGATGCCATGAAATATTTCAAAATGAAATATGTAACTTCTTACAGAAATCAAAATGCACTGACATCTGTCTCATCTTATCATGCCTAGAAGTAATTTTGTATTAAAGTTTATAATTTTTTACTGAAACATTTATTTTGCAGGCCCCAAGTAGTCTGTTAGAAGCCCTTGAGCAGCATCTGGCATCCATCGAAAGCAGCAAAAAGTCAAACTGGAACAAGTAAGTATGACGATGGTATAATGTAAAAATACATGTGGAACATAACAACATTTTGTGTGTTTGATGCTTTACTATTCTTAGTAAATAGTAATTGTATCCATTAGGATCTCCCAGAAATAATTGTTGTTATGCTGGTTGTGCAAGAAGAAAATCAGGGCATCTAGTTTATGAAAATAATTGCACCCAATGGAGCTAATTCCCACAGGAATATGAAGAGCCCTTTTTAGAAAAAGCTGTCCTTCTCCACTTTCTATGTTTTTGTAATTGTACCTAGAAATATCTTGAAATTCAGCTTCAATTTGTATTTGTGAGTTACTTGCCAATACATTCTAAACTCAATAAATTCATGTACAGTGTGATTTATAAAGCATTGTATTCATTGACAATTAACTCGTTGACAACTGAGTTCTCCCATTTCCATAGACTTAATACAGGGACGACCCAGTCCTGGCAAGCAATGGGTTCATAGATCTACAGAGAAGCATATGTGACCTGCATTTCGCTTGTATATTGCTATCCCTCAATACCAAAGAATATTGTCTCTTCACCTTGCACATACATGTAGGTATCATGATATATACTGTATAATCTAGATTATTCTTTCACTGTCATTCCTTCCTATTTTTCTCCTATTACGTACATGTATGCAGAGCCAATACAGTCCAGACAGTTTTAAACGCTTTCTCATCATCAGCAGCATCCATCGACGATAACGACAAGAAGAAGGCCCTCGAGGACGAGAAGGCAAGATTAGCAGCACTCAAGGCATGCATATTTTGTCAGTTTTTTTAGTGAAAGACCTTCCCTATCCCATCATATTTTCTCTCTTTTATTGCCCTCTTTCTACACCCACCTTCTGTCTTTACATCTTTGTTTTATCTCTCTTGATCTAGCCCTCTTTTTCTTTTCTCTTGATTTCTATCTTCTATCTCTCTCCCTCTCTCTCTCTCTCTCTCTCTCTCTCTTTCTTTTTCACTTTCTCTCTCTCTCTTTCTCTTTTTCTCTCTCTCTCTCTTTCTCTCTCTCTGCCTTTGTCTCTGTCTCACCCTCCCTCCCTCCCCTCTCTCTCTCTCTCTCTCTCTCTCTCTCTCTTTCTTTCACTTTCTCTCTCACTCTCTTTCTCTTTTTTTTTCCTCTCTCTCTTTCTCTCACCCTCCCTCCCTCCCCTCTCTCTCTCTCTCTCTCTCTCTCTCTCTTTCTGTGAATCTAGACTTTATATTCATCTCACAATCTTTTTCCTTCTTTCTTCTTATCTCTTTATTGGCCTATTTTCAATTTCTCTCTTTTAATATCCAGCTCATTTTCTCCTCTCTGTGTATTTTCCATCCTTTCCTCTTCTTGATTAACAATCCTTGTAATCAAACTTATTTTTACATTGTTGAATAGTATCCTTGAAAAGAGGAAGCTGAAGATAATATATAGAAATGTGTAGGCCTGGAAGGGAAGATTATTCTACTTACAATATACTTATAGATGAAGACAGTTCATTCAAGTGTGTCAGATGGATAGAGACTAAAAGCCTTATCCTTGAGCTTACTTTATTCAATCTGGGTTACATAATCATTGATACTTCTGTGAGTTGAATACCTTTACACCGACTTGAAAGCTAGCCAATCGTAGTGGCATTGAAAACTCAAAAGAAATACTGTGTTGCTTGATGTAACAATTCATGTCTTATGTAATACGGATTGGTGATTCCTAGAAAACTGGATACATCTCTCAAAGAGTTATATGCAAATGATATGGAACTGAAATGATACATATTGTATGTGAATGTTGATGTTCTCTCTTCTATACCAATTTCTGTATGGTTTATCAAGAAAATGATATATACTGAGCCAGCATATATTACTGTAGTACTACATGTACATGTATGTAATATATACATGTATGTGTATGGGCTTTTTAATTGTTATCCCTCCCACCCCACAGTTATGCATCTTTAGATTGTGGAATCGTTCCCCTGTTGTTTAGTTACTATTTATATTATATATTTATCTCTAACATCTAAAGTGCTCTGATCTGACTTACATGGGTTTTGTGTGTGTAAAGCCCAGTCCTTTGGTTTCTGAATTCATACATTTTTTCATCCTTTTCAGGTCCATTGATTTATTCAATGGATGTTTGAACAGTCACCAGATTCAATGTATTAGATCTAAGGGGGGGGGGGGGGGTCACAAAACTTGTAATCAGTGACAAACGACAGTTTTTGTTATAAGCTACTGAAATCCTTGCTTCTGATTGGTTATCAGCAGATTTGTCACTGATTTTTGTCATTTGTCATTGAAAAAAGGCTTTGTGAACGGGTCCCAGAACTTTTTATTGTAGGAGGCTTTATACTTAAAGATACGGTACACAAAGTATCTGTATGTTCTTGCGATTCAAACAAGGAATGGACATGTTAGGAGTGGAAAGATTTTATGAAGGATGTTTTCCTTGAAAATATTCCTTCTCGTTCCTTGCCTCAGATTACAACTCTTGATTACAACACGGTTAACTACTGTAATCCTAGAATGCCATCATTTTTAGCGTGATAGTGTGTGGCTAAGGCACCGGTATCTGAAATCTGGGCACTGTATTATAAAGAGTTGCAATCGATTGAAATCAATCACAACTTTAAATTGATTGCAACTGTGTAGAGATTGATTTTGTGTTTAATTTCAAGTTGCGATCAATGCAAGTCAATCAAACTCTTTATAAGACAAGGCCCTGAGTGAATGTGCTAGAATTCACCATCCCTATCAATCAAATCCAGTCGACAGGTTCTCCCAAATTCAGATATCACTGGGATTTCTTTTATTCCCCATTTTTAGCACCATACTTACTAACTCACTTTTTACGGTATTGCCATCTGCCACACCTGTCTCTGATAGTCTGTAACGAAACATGACATATTTGTACAGTCAAACCTGCTTTAGTGACCACCTGTCTACAAAGACCACATTTTTTTTGTTTCCCTTGAAAATGGTTTCTCATTGAAACATGCACTGAACGAACCTGTCTACAAAGACCACTTTTTGTGTTTTCCTTGGGCGGCCGCTATAGACAGGTTTGACTGTATCTCACTATCCATGTTGCCATCGAGGCAACTTGCCTCATTATGGTCGTGCACATTGACAACATCTAGCGGTGTTTATGTTTCTTGACTTCAGAGTTTTAGCCACACCTCTCAGAGTTTTAGCCACACCTCCCAGAGTTACAATGAAGTGGGAACAACCATCCTGTTTGACTTTAATGATCAGGTATCCCTTTGTCTTGGTGAACGCGGACACTCTCTCCTTCCTCAGGCATGCGTTCATCTTGCATCATCATTCGCATCGTCTTGCCTTTTCCCTCCACCAATTCTGATTTTAAATTTCATCCAAATCTTACATAAAAGTTCTTCCAAGTAGCAGATTTTTAATAATCTGTACCTTTTTATATGCTTAGAATCTCATTAAAAGATATTCCACATTGTAGACTGCACAAAATTGTTTCAGGCTTTCCCATCAAATTCCAAGTTTTTGTAGAGTAGCAGACAATATGATGGTATAATGTAAGAGATGGTCATACTCCTTATTAATCATGATCTACAAGGTGCATGTAACCAAGTAAACCATCAAACTTTCCATAATTTGAAATCTTAAGATTCTTCCTTTTGAAGACAAAGCCTGAAATATTCAAATTAAATCCACTGAAATTGCATGCTTAATAAAGATGTAACTGTCTTTAGTGAAAGTAATCCAAGAAATTAGATTTTAAACTTACTTTTTCAAGCTGTAGAATATTGTAGATTAGTTAAAGCTCATTTGATGCAAACACAATAGAAAACTCTGATAGCTGTTCTTCACTTTCTGAACAACCTAGTACACTGCAAATTATCACTTTTCCATCAAATTTTCATTGTAAAGTCTTTGAATAATTATAGAAATACAAGTAAGACCAGATGAAGTTAAATCAGTCTTTCTCTCGAACTTTTCCTGCATGTCTCATTACCAGCATGACGTTCTGCATTTTAAGCATATTGCTTGTTGCATATCTGGATTTTGAGTAAATTTGGAAGAAACTCATTCAAAATACCATATAATGCATACCGGTAATGCATATACTTTGGGGAGATTCCCTCAGTTCAGTTATCAAATCTACACTGTAGCTGACAAATAAGACATCTTTTATTTTAGTACCGTAGTTTGCATGTGTAGGGATCATCATAACAAGCAAATTGCATGCTTTTTAGGGTAACTCTAAGTGAAAGTATGCTACATTGTGCATCTTGTTGTTAGCAGAGTCTATACAGAAGTCTTTATTAACTTGTTTAGCTCATTAGCTTATACAACCATGATAGGACCAATATAAGACTTATCAACTGCTCCAGCAAAGAAAAAGCATCTCTTTCAACAAGGGCAGTGAGCTTGGGTTTTTAGATCCTTCTTAAATTTCCTCAAATGTTCATGGAATTGTCTTGAATAATCAAAAGTAGGATTGGAATGACTTTGTGTCCTATTGAACTATTAATGCACTGGCATCTTTTACATGGCATGTTTAGAAAGAATGGAAATCACTCTTGATTGAATGAAAACCAAACAATACATTTCTACATCCAGTATACCAACATGAGCCACCTTGTTATGATGCACCTGGAACTAATGTCTCATGTTATTTTTTTAAACATCCCCATGTAAATCAATCAAATATGGTTGATTACAATAGTAATGATGATGATGATGATAATAATGACAACAATAACAACTTTTACAATAACCTTAAAAAAAACAATCACAGCAGGTCAGCAGCAACAACAACTACCATAGCAACAACAAGAGCAACATCAACAAATCAAGAACAGTAGCAACAACAACAGCAATAAAAAAAAACATTTCTTTGAATGTTAGCATCGTGCTGGTCTTTATCCCAATATAATCTGCTGTAGCAGAGTGTATACAACATATACTTTTACCATTAACCAAATGCCTACTGGAAGGGTACAGTGGTAACAGTGGTTCCTACTATGGTTCTCATGTTAAGCTTATGAGAATGAAAGAATGCGATGGTCCAATGGGTTAATGAAGAAGAGCAATATTTAATCTGATCCCCTCTGGCCTTGTTGTACAGGAGCAAAGATTGAAAGAGACCCAGCAGTCGGAGCAGTCCATCACTTTCACGCCGGAGCCTGTAGTCCAGAGCACCCCACAGATGGCAGCAGCACCAGCAGCAGCTCCAGCTCAAACTTCAAACCCCTTCATCACCGCCCCAGCGCCAGCGGCACCCCAACCTGTCGCAGCATCAACATCCGGCCAGGATCTGTTTGCCGCCCCCGCAGGTTTGTCCAAAGAAAAGCCTCTCTATGTGGAGTGGTGTGTGCAATGTTTTGTAACCACAAGCAAAAGGCGCTATATCTTTTGATTGATTGATTGATTGATGTAGAAATCATAGATACAAGGGATATTACTTCAAATATGAATATGAAAACGTTGGGGTGACTAAAATTCTCCTATGATATGGGAACTGTCACAAAAAGACCTATAGCACAGTTGGTAGAGTAGTGGTCTCGTAAGCCGGCGACCTGGGTTCGAACCAAGGCAATGCGCTAGTGCCTTTTGGTAAGGCATTAATCCTCATTACCAGGTCCCTAGGAGAGGACCTTAAGTCGTCTATCCTCTGGTTGCTTACTAACAAACATTTAGGCTTTCATAACAGTCAGGTATAACCACCACCACTACTACTACTAGAGCCAATGATCAACTCACATTTTTTGCTTATCATGGAGGGATTGATTAGAGTTTGTTGGACGTCTGATGTGCAATTTGCATAACTTGTTTTGCCCCCCCCCCCCCCCACACAGTGAACAACAACAATCAACCAGGCATGAAGCCCTCACAGGACCTGATGTTCCTCCAGTCCAACCAGATGACCACCATTCTACATGCTCAGATGGCCACTCAGGCCATGACCTCCAACCAACCTCCGCAATGGGGGGGATCACCAAATGGTAAATACCTCCCTTCTATCATCCTCCTCCTCCGCTTTCCTTCTCTCTCTCTCCCTCTCTCTGTCTCTCTCTGTATATGTCTCTGTCTCTCCCTCCCCCCTCTCTCTCAATCACTCTCTCTTCCTCTATCTCAGTCTTCCTCTCTTAATCACTCCTCTCTCTCCCGCTTCTTTTTTCTTGCATACAGTTTTAAAAGCAGAAGTGTTACCTCATTAGAGCAAACAGTCGCTTGGGATTTAGCTTGGGATTTACAATGCAAGGATATTAACACATCTTGACCTGCGTAAGGAGAATGAGCTGAAAAGATTGTTTTTGTTGGCATACAAGATTCGTTACTGTGTGCTGTTAAATGGTTGTTGATAGGCCAACGAAGGAATGAAGCTCACAAAGAAAAATTTGCTGTTCTAAATGCTCATTTGATTTTCTTTATTTCACATTGTTATCCTTCTGTATATTCTTCCAGTGGAAAATCGTTTCACACTTTCATTTTTTACGCATTAAGGAAGATGTCTTTTATGAAATAAGTCCAGAAGTGAAATTGTGTTTTTTCATGTGGAACAAGTTTCCACAAAGTTGATGTAGAAATCTGTTATCTGGATTGTTCCCTCTATCTTGCACCTCCTGAGCAAACCATTGGTATACACACACTTTTTCATTCCTAGACTGCTCTCTGTTTAGAGATAATTCCATAGGTGTACACAACATAAGATGGAACGAAAGGGTAGAAGAATTGAGAAAATCCAACTTTTATGAATTCTTGTTCCTTTAGTAATTGATTTTGTCTTTCCAACCAAGTTTTGGAGTCATACCAAGGTGCATCTAGAATTTGAAATTGAAGGAAAAATTCCCTTTTCATCAGACATTCTGTTCGAGTTTGAACCAAGGTTTCTTTTCTTGATGTTCATATGATGTTGGATCTCTTTCGTCAATATTTCCTGAAAAGTTGGATGGAAAGATGAAGTCAATGACTACATGAACACAAACCTCAAGCACTCACACTCTTGTTGTGCATCTACAGTTTTTGTTTGTTTCAAGAGTTTGCCAAGGCATGAGCTGTGCCTACCTTTCAATTGCTTTCACCTCTTTTACCATGCCTTGTAGGATAACATGATATTGAAAGTTGACAAATTAATGTCCTTTTAAATGTCTCTAATCATTTCCACTTCACTTGGCTTTTCGGGAAGAAACTACTGTATAGGAAAAATAAGTTAACTTTATTCTTTACAATACGCCCTGTATCCGGTTCCTTCTCATGAAGTCTATACTCTATGCTTTTTACACGTATTGCTCTTGGGCAGCTGTCTCCCAGTCTGTTCCTATCGACATCCCTGGTCCGTCCATTGAGGCCAGTCGATCAGCTCCGGCCAGCTATGTGGACTCGCTGGGTCTGCTTGCTCCGTCTTCACTCCCAACCAGTACTGTATTATTATCTGTGCACTATGCTAGCTAGTTTAATATCAGTTATATGATTGTGGGACCTTGTATGCCTTTTGGTCTGGTAGCTTGTTTTGTGCGACCCCTGTCCACAGTGAAGAAGCGAAAATAGTTCAGTAGCATGGGAGATTCTAGGTTTTGTGGTTGTACCCTTTCGTCTTGTACTAGCCATCAGTTAATTTAGTCCTACACTCCCAAGCAGTACTGTATTATTATCTGTGCACTATGATAGCTAGTTATCAGTTGTATCATTGTGGGACCTTGTATGCCTTTTGGTCTGGGAGCTTGTATTGTGTGACCCCTTTCCACGGTGATGAAGCGAAAATAGTTTAATGGATAAAGCAGTGGCAGGGAATATGGAAGAATCTAGGTTTGAAACCAGTTTCATTGTGGTTGTACCCTTTCGTATTGTACTAGCCGTCGGCTGCTTCAGTCCTAGAGGCAAGAATTTAAGTTAGTACAGTACATCAAGTGCCCTTTACTATGCCATTAGCCCTCGGTTCTGTATTCCTGTGGGTAAGACCAAGTCAGTGTGGTAATATCCTACAGTCTGTTATTTAGCCCTCAGGTACTTAAGTCCTACTAGTCCTACAGGCTAGACTTGAAGTTAGTACAGTGCACGTAGTACCCTTTAAACGCATCGTTTAACAATGTAAATCTGAGATGCATGGCCCTACGTGTTATCAGTGTCTGTGATATGGTGTAATATTGATGCCCTAAAAAATTGTGATTCAAAATGATCAAGAAGTGCCTCAAAAAGTAAAAATCTTTGAGTGACCGGTTTTACCATACTCATTTCCCCAATAGACTGTAATGTTATAAAAGACGAAAAATGAAATTTCGATTTCCAATCATAAATATCTTGATAATCAGACAGGTGATTGGCTCGTAAAAGTCATGAGATTCCTGACTGACCTAAAGGTCCATAATTATGATTGCAGCATGAGCTAAATCCAGGATTTTGTTTCAGAATCTGAGGCAATGTTTCTGAGTACCCTTTAATGTGCCATTAGCCCTCGGTTCTGTATTCTTGTGGGTAAGACCAAGTCAGTGTGGTAATATCCTACAGTCTGTCATTTAGCCCTCGGTTTCATAGTCTCATGGGTAAGACTTTAAGCTGTACGTTCCCTTGAACTCATTACACGGAAATCTGTATCATGTGATCTGGATATTTCGTGCAAGCCAATTAGTTCTATGTCACCCAGTAATAAAGAATGTTGGTAGTAGGGGCCAGCTCCCCTATCTTCCAGTTTCAGCTGTACTAAGTGACTTATCCTCTGTCTTCCTCTGTTGTTGAAGTGACATTGTGTCATCGATTTTTCCTTAGTCCCTTCTATAGGCAACAGAGTAGGTGTGACTTGTAATGATTATTGGTACAGTGTAGTTATATGATACTTTGGGCTAGAAATTCCAAGTGACTAGGGCTTTTTCAAAATCATGATATTCCAGTACATGCAAAAGTTATGATATTGATTGCTTTAGGATTTTCTATCTATCTAACATCAGAACTTGTATTATTATAAATTTTAATGTTTGGATATCAAGAAGCAATGTAGTTACAGGGTAATGGGATTGGTGAATTAATTGTAATTTTCTTTCTTCTCTTTCCACCCCATACATGTACATTTAACCATGTAACATATCTATTTGTACTTAATGTACTTTTGTGATTTATACATGTACATCCCGTCGTGTTAACTTTAATGTACAATGGTATTCTATGGATATATCTTTCCGTTATGGTTATGATTGGTTATTATTGTGGGTATTACTCTGTGTAGACATGGCAGGATCCTTAGATCCTCCAAACCCCTTTACCTCAAGTAATCCCGCAACCCAAGCTAATGTCGATCAACCCCCATTCCTGGCTGATTTTGATGGTCAAGCCCCCGTCCTGGAGCACACTGACCAGTCTGTTGAGCCCGAGGAGGGTGCTAGTAGCACCAAACTTGATCCCTTTGCTGGCATTGAAGATGATTACATGAAGACTAAAAAGGGCGCTGACCCCCAGGGGGATCTCCTGGCCCCCTTAGCGCCTCAGACGTTTTCCATGAATCAGTTAGATCCTTTGTCTCCCAGTGTTGCTTCTGATGGTTCCCTCTTGACCACCCAAGCCCCCTCTCAGCCCGTGCAGGTGCCAAACTATTCCCTATCCTTTGATACAGCTACCCCTGGCTTCCTACCAACCAGTGACTCTGTTGCTCCCAAATCACCCGCTCGCAGTCCTATAACCCCAAATTATTCCCCTATGTTAGACCCTATCAGCCCCAATGCGTCATCAGCTATTGACCAAGCAGCCCCCAAGTCTCCGTTCGGTAGCCCTGCAGCCCCTAATTATTCAGTGTCGTTTGACCCGATGGGCCTTAGCCTGTCCCCAGCCAAGACTCCCAAGTCACCTGCCATGAACCCCAAGTACTCCCCTACCCATCACCCCACCCCCTTCCCATCCCCAAACCCATCCCCTCAGGTTCCTCTGCAGAATACCCTGGCTTCGTCGTCACCCTTTGTGACTAATCCTTCATCAGACTTTACCCCCATCACCACCGCTTCAGATGACACCCAGGGAGGAACCCACTCCTGGGACGTCGACAAGCCCTCTGAGATAGAGTCCATCTTTGGAGCTCGACCTCTCACCCCGTCTACTTCTGCTACTGTAGACCAGGGTGTCCTTGGACAATGCTTTGAAAGTAAATAGATCATCTGTTGTGGTTATTTAAATGTTGATGTCTTTATATGGGCCCTCAGTTATTCTCCATGTTCATATTTGATGGATATTATATCTCTTGTTTGTTTTCATGTGAAATTCTCAGCGGCAATGGTTACAGTATAATCACAACTTTATTGTTTGTTCCTTACCTCTATATATACATGTATACAGAACTTGAGCCTTTTGTTTTATCTTATTATACCTCATACTCCGAATAGTGCCTAATACAATATATCACACATTGTTTCTTTATATCTTCCTTTTCCCCAAATGAAAATCCAAATCAGAGATTTACTATTTCTGATTCATTCAATTGTGCATAAAGTCTATGGATCCTTTGAATGTCTAGATGTTTTGTGTTTATCGTCTCTTCAAAACCAGAAGGGCGTTAACTTGTATAATTTAACTCTGGGTTAAGGTCCTTCTGGCTCTGGACAGAGGACACGTTTATGTAGTTTTACATTAAATTGTATATTATAACAACATTTTAGTGATGTTTTGTTCAAAATCAAAAATGTGTTATGTCATTATTAATGATGACATTGTTTTATTTTAAAGTACAAGTAGTATTATTGGTCATTTTATCATTTTTAGATGTGTAGTAGTTTGAAAAGACAAATCACAAATGATTATTGCCCTTGAAAAGATGATTTCTTTTTCAGAATAAGTTTTGTAATAATATACCTATATTGGAAAATTTTTATTGATACAGCTTTCAAATTAACATTATGAATATCGGTCAGAAGACTTTAAATTTGCTCAAAAAATGTTTTTCCACAATCCAAAGTGGATAGACCTTTCCTGTCAGATCATTATGTGAAAAAGTGATGTAGAACAATTCACCCTTCCCCGTACTAAA